TCCTGCAGCACGTTTTCCCAGTGCTGGGCCAGGCTCCCTGGAATCCCTGCCAACCCTAATCCGCTGCTCAAGTGACTTGGCACCCGTTTCTCACAAAGCCCCTTGGTATTCTACACCTCCACACACATCCCAGATACTTATATTTATCTCTCCCTGATTAGGGCTCATTTGTTGTGGAGTTTCTGCAGATGTTGCTTTATTTAACCCGTTCTTGATGAAGGGAAGGAAGGACAGACCCGTGAGGAGGAAGGAGGTGTTTCACAGCATCCCTTACTCTGCAGCAACTCCAGTGCCAGGAAAATGTGTACACTGCTCATAATTCTTCTTGTCTCATCTGTTCTTCCCTCCTATTCCCCCCTCAAAAAAAAAAAAAAACAACAACCCACCAACAGGAATTCCCTTCTTCCTTCCTTCCTAATTAAACCTCTCTGCCTATAACCAGGAAGGTCTATCAATGAGGCAGTATGTGGTCAAATGATGGCTGGAGTGGCTCAGCAGGAAATTTGGGAGGAAAATACGACCTCAGCAGCTTAGCAGGGTTTATTTTTAGGGCTCGTGAGCTTGTTGAACTCTGGGATGCAAAGTGCAGACTCCTATTGTTGTCAGATGGCTCCTGTCCCGCAGGCAGAGTCAAGCGGTGACTCACAGACAAGGGGGGTGCCTTTGGCAATGGGCCGGGCTTTTCTTCCCTCCTCCAGCCTAAGATGGAGACAAAACCTCCAGTCCAAGGTGCTAAAAATCGTTTGCAAAACCATATTCCAGCTTGTTGTGATTAAAACCCTCCTGTTTGTCATCAAAACCCCCGTTGCAAATCTGTTTGGAGAGCACCTGAGGGGCTGAGGTTGGGGCTGTGCAGACACCCGGGGCTGGCCCTGCTCCTGCTCGGGGCTGGCCAGGTGCAAACCAAGCCCCGAATGGAAACCTTGTTCCCTTTCCAGCAATCCCTGCCCAGAGCTGGGATTTATTAAGCCTGGAGCACGGAGCTGGACCGAGGCAGGGGTTTCAGGTGTGAGCTGCCTGGCGCTCACCCAGCTTGGCAAGGGGATGTGAGTCCTGGGGAAGATTCAAGCCCAAATGTTATTTGGGGAAATTTATGTTCTAATTCCAACACACAGCCCCTCTCCTCTCCCTCAGCCTTCCTCCTTCCAAATCACACAATTGTTTAGGTTGGAAAAGACATCCAAGGTCGAGTCCAACCCTTAACCCGGCACTGCCAAGTGCACAACCATAAAACATGTCCCCAGATCTTTACCCTCCATTGTAGTACAAGCTACTCCTTCTAGAATTCCCTAAATTAGTTCCTGGAGATGCATTTGGGGTTATCTTGGACTCCTTATTCTTCCCCTGGGTCAGTCCTCCTGTAGCAGAGCTGTGGTGGTTTTTTAATGTTGTTTCTGCAGAGCACCTTGCAAAGATTTTGGGGGCTCACTCAGTTGTTTAGAAAGAATCAGACTTGTGACCTTTTTGCATTTCTCAGTCACTGTTACCACGTCATTCAGAGCTGGTTCCCTGGCACGTGGGGCTTCTCCACATCAGTGTGCCCTGGGCATTGTAGTGGGGCAGCTTTTCAGGCCCTGAGGACACAAACTGGTGCTGTCAGTGTGAATTATACCCCCAAAATACCCCTTAAACTGAATAACAAATCTCTGGCTCTAATACAACAACTTGTTCTGTACCTCTTATCACTGTGGGAAAAGATTGATGGCCTGAGCAGAAGGTGCAACTAAAAATTTGATTAATTAGTAGTAACTAAGGCACTTTTGCTTATAACAGGTTTATGTGGGTTTAATGTTCAGTGGCTTCTATATTGAGGGGTCTGTTATTTGTTCACAATTAGTAACAATATCAGTTTGCTGGTTTTTTTACTTCTAAACAACCTCTGAGTGTTCCACTGTCCTTGGACCCCTCACTGAAATGTTTGATCACTCAAAGTCTGAGGTTTTGGTGACAGACAAATCCTTGTGTGATTTTTAAAATCCCTAAATAGCCTAAAGGTCCAGCCCTGCAGTTTTAACACCAGTCCCAGCCTGGCTCAAGGCCATCCCAGTCTGTCACACACAGACCCCTCAAGCACCCAGGCAGTTGTTTTCACTGTTTTATGGTGGTTATCCTGATTTTTCTTCCCTCCTCTTTTTGGCCTTGTGACTGATCCACAGCCTCAGTCTGTCCTGCTTTGTGTAACAGGATATGGTGAGAACTGTCCCTTCTCAGATGCTGCTTCCTTGATAACTGCAAAGGATGTTCTTAGTACTTTTTATTCTTTGCCAAGGGCATGTTGCTCTATCAGCAGAAGGTGTTCTGAGAGCAGGGGTGCAAACCCAAACAGGTTCAGACAACTAAATAAAAATGGAGCATGAGTCAGGCTCTTGGAGTAAGGAAGGTGATTGTCTGCTGGGGGATGTCAGAAGGCTGCACAGTGTGAATGATGTGTGCAGTGGGTTCAGTTCTATATTAAACAGTGAAATAGTGTTTTTTCAGTCTGGGTAACTCTGATTTGAACCACAGATATGCTGCCTTGGTGCTGAGCTTCAAGGATGAGATGGCTTTGAGGTGCTGGTGTTATCAGCCAGGGAGTTGTTCAGGGGTTGTATTTGAGACTTCACAGGGGAATGAAAATCCCTTCCCCACACCCCTGCCCTCTGTTCTGAGAGAAGGGCTCTGTGATGCACCAACCTGAGCTGCAGAGGTGGCTTAAAGGTCCCTGTTGTCCTCCCCCCATGGCCACCCTCCCTTCAGGGGTGCCAGAACAACCAGGGATTGGTATCTTGGGGGTTGTGACTCTCAGGAACATGTCAGAGGGTGAGCACCCAGCTCGTGCCCAGATTGGGCTCTGGGGTGAGCTCGAGGTCAGCATTCAGAACTAAAACTTACAGCTTTCCTGGTATTAGGGGGAAACAAGGCTTGGGCTGCTAATCTTGTGAGGAAAAACTATGGCTCTTTCTTAAATTAATGCTGAGCAACATAATCTGCTTAGTGAAGTGAGGGGGGCTTTGTCCCTGTTCCTAAATCCTGCCCAGAGAACTCTTTGCATCCTGTGCTGGGGGACACAGCAGAGCTTTGGGGTCACCCCGTGCTGAGGGTCCTGGGGTTCCAGCAGGTCACTCCAAAAGCCACTTTCACTGGACCTGCTGCTGTCCCTGTTCTGAGAGGGGAAATCCCTGCCTGTTTGGCAGCAAATCCACCCTCTGGGAATGACATGGAGCGTTACTGGGGAATCCTAAGGGACACTGGCCTTTGGGAAGGTCATCAGAGATGTTGTATCATCTCCTCAGTGTGCTGGATCCCATGTTCCTTCACCAGCTGCTTGTCAGAGCCCTCTCTGGGTCCTACAGGTTTTTGCTGAGTCTCACTCCATCATCCAGCCCAGGGAGAGCTGCCTAAAATGTCCCAGGGATAGGTTTAGAGGGACTTAAAGGCTGAATCCACATAGCAGGTCTGCAGTGAGCGAGATGAGGAGGAGCAGACAGGAGCCTTTTGTCCTTACTTTCATAAGTGGCTTGTGCTGCCCCTTTGCCCTTGGTTTTGTGGACACGCCCTGAAAGTTTGCAGTGACTGTACAAAGCTGGTGGAGTTGATGCTGTCCCAGGAGCTCTTGGCACCTTTCACCTGGTGTGGAGCCCCTGGTGTCACTCAGAGGAACTCGTGGTGGATGGATGCCGTGGGAAGGGCTGGGCAGTGGGAACAGGGAGATGGCTGGGAGCAAGGAAATCCAGGATTTATGTTGTATGTTTAACAGCTGAGCATTGCTGGGTCCTGTCTCAGCTTCAGCTAACGGCATCAGCTTCTAATTAATTGGATTTTTGTTTTTAAACTCATGATTGTGGCATCTGCCTTTGCTGACAACAGCCCTTTGTCAGGGCAGGAGGAACACTCAGCTGCCCCTTGGCCAGAAAAACTCTGAATCTACTTTTCTACCACCCTCTCCTCCCAGCTTGGCTTTCCTGACATCTGAAAAATTACTTTTCCTCTCTCTGAATGCATAACTGGTTATTTATACACAAACCATGGAGTGTTTACTCCGTGTACCTGACCTAGAAAAAAAAAGATCAGTCAAGACCTCTCCCACCAGATGTGTCAGTCAACATGTGATCTCCATATAATTTATAAGGTCTTAAATTACAAAATAATGGCTCTTTTCAGTTAGCATTTGGCACATGATGATAGTGTTACATTTTATGTGAGAATATCAACCACAGCTCTTGCCCCATAAAACTGCAAACAGAAATTTGTAACCATTGGCACTGGTTTGGCTTCAAAAAAGACACCCATTATACTGGGATTACAGTCCAGCCATGGATATAGAGGCTGGAGCTTGTCCAGTCCCACAGAATTTCCCCCCCTCCCTCTTTTAACATTTCCTTAACAAGTCCAGACAGTGGTTTCTAGGCTGGATTTTTCTCTCTTCCCTTGGATTTAACTAGAGGAAGGTCTGTGGAGAACACAGTGAGCACAAGGTCTTGCAGGACTCTTGCAAATGAATCTGCAGCCACCACGTGTGAGAACAGTCCTGTCCCACAAAGCTCCCAAACCCCACAGAATTCAGGAATCTCATCTGGCTGCTGCTTGCCTGCAAGTAGGAAGAAGCAGCTTTAAAATCAGATTTACAAGGTGACAGTTGGATGTTGCTCACTGAGACCAGGCTGTGTGTAAACAGGTCCCTCATCTCTCTGTAAAACTGAATTAATCAGGGGTTTGCCTTGGAGAAGAACCTTTATTCATGTATCATATATTTTTCTTGCAAATAGGGAGATGGGTTTTTAGACACGTCGGGGGAATTGTTGGGGTGACCAGTGCAGGGCCAGGAGTTGGACTTCCATGATCCTGGTGGGTCCCTTCCAACTCAGGATTCTGTGATTCTAAATGCACTCTCAATTTTTAGTGAATCCTTCTCACTCTCATTCCTTCTCTCACCCACCCCCAAACAACAGGGCTTGTTAGTGAATTCTTTCCACCCTCATTCCTTCTCCCATCCCTAAAAACGCAGCTCTTGTCTCATTAAACACGATTTTAACAACCATTTATTGGTGGGGTGGTGGAAGAGGGTGTCCCATCTCTCACCCAGTTTGGGATGTGTCAGAGTTGTCGGTGGCTCCACAACCCTCCTCTTCTCCCAGGGTGAAGGATGGTTTGGGGTGAAGGATGGTTTGGGGTGAAGGATGGTTTGCTGCACATGGAACACCCTCCCAGGATGGAAACCTGAAAAATCCCTCTGGCCTCACTCTGCCTTTTGATGTGAAGTCACAGAAGCAGCTCCTCTGCAGTGCAGACACTTTGTGGGGAGTGTTGGAACGGGCTCACCAGCCAAAGGAAATATGGATTTGAAAAATCCCCCTGAAGGGTTTGGGTCTGGTAGGAAAGGGACAGGGCACTGCCTGACACTTTGCCTTGGTTAAATGGCAAATATTGCTGCTTCTTAAAGTCCAGTTCCTCCTTCTGCTTGAGGCAAACCCTTCCCAGCTGCTGAGAAATTCCCTTGTCCTGCCACATCGACCTCATCCACCAACTTGGGTGAAAGATCTTTCCTTGTTTTCACATTTTTCTGCTTCAAAGTACTCATCTGAGGGTTTAATATGCAGCAAAACCCTCCCCAGCCAGTCTTTGCTGGAAACTTGTGTGCAAGTTTTCAGCAAATCTCACTGTAACTTGGAACTGAGAGATGTGTAATGATACAGAATATTTTGGCTGCTCTCACACTCTCTCTATACAAGGAGTTGATCAAACACTGTTTCTCCAGTAAGAGCCAATAAGTGACACTTCAGGGCTGAAATAGGATTGTTTCTGGGGTCTGTCAGCCTTGGTAAGCAACTGACTTCTTTATTCAAAGTGAATGCAGTGCTAAATAAATATTCCCTTCAAAGCATTAACATATTTTACAGCTGAATTCTTTTCACACTTAAACCTCTGTAGCTTTGAGTAGTGATCACATTGGACGTGCAGCTCTCACATCTCACGAGGCTTCAGCACAGACACTTAAAACACAGTTGAGTGGAAAACATCTGTTCAATTAATACTTAGTCTTTCTTTTTTTTGGCAGCATAGTCTTAGAAGTAGCTTTATGCTGTCCTGTGGAAAAGGTCGATTGCTGATCTAATAAGCTGTAACTTTATACTTTGTCCAATTTAAATTGTTTTCCCCATTTGTGCATCTCATACTTAAGAATGAATCAGCCTGTGTAGGTCAGCAGAGCTTCAGCTATGAACCAATAGCTGGAGAAATGAACCATCTGATCAAATGGAATGACTGCAGACAGTTAACTTTCTGTATTTTTCTGACATCTATAAAAGGAAATGGAATATATGAATTGGAAAACAAGACAATGTTGCTGTAACCAACTAAGAAAAGAGTGCAGCAAATTGATTTACTGTTTTTGGGGAGTTACTTTGAGCCCTTTTAATTAACTGACTGTGTAGCAAAACCGATTAAGCAACCACTCACAAGATTTTCTCCTATTTGGCTGCTCTGACACCAGTTGTCCATAATCCAGTGAGGTCACTGCTCCGTGGTCCTTCAGCTGCTCTTGGTTTCCACACAAGAGCTTTGCCCTTGGAAGAATTCTGGGGTTCAGGCCCTTTTCCAGCTGACTTTGTATAGCCCAGCCCTTCTCAGAAATAATCATATATAATCCCCTGAATACAAAACCCCAGGTGCAACAGAACTTTTCACTCTTTCCTTCTCCCTTGAGGTGGCATTTAAATTTAAAATAAATTAAAAGGCAGCTTAATCTTGCAAAAATGAAACTTATTTCAACACTGCATTATTAATTATGTTTTCTCTTATTACTTTTCTCTTCTGTCACCAAGCAACTCTTCTGCCTACTTTCAAAACAGTTATTTACACTTCAAACTTCTCCACACAGTAAATTCCTGTCTCTAGGAAAACCAGGCTGCACACTCTTGCAGTGGAATAAGGAAAAGCCACAAGCTTTTATTATGCCTTTTTAAGCAAACATACATATTGTGTGAAGTTACTGAGTTAACATACGATGATGCATCTCCAGAAGCCAGGAAATATTGGCAGGAATCTCCAGGAAAATGAAATTTTCTATTTCCCAACCGGTCCCCACGTCAACTGCCGGGGGAGAAGAATGCCAAATGTCGGCATTTTGGGATTCGAGTTGTTCTGTTTCCTCCTCGGTTGGTGCACGTGTTGTTGCCTATCCACGGTCTCCAGAGGGAGACCCATTGGGATTTTTGTATTTCGTGTTCAGCCGTTGAGTCCGACGGGACCATCCCTGGGTGAGGGTTTGTCTGGGGGTGCAGTCGTCCCCCAGCAGCTTTTCTTCATCGACACCACGTGTGAACCCACTGTTGTGGAGCAGCCCTCCCACACGGGGTGTCAATCAAGAGTTAATGGGGGATAACTCCATGTGTAAACATCTCTCTAGAAATGGGATTCAGAGGTGGGGTCTCCCCCGTTGGTGATGGCCTGGTCACTCAGCTCGTCCTGCGGCGCCGGCAGCGCCGTCTTTGTCAGAGGTGTCTCTGTCTTGAAAAGAGAATCCATTTTGATCTGGGTTTTTATGTTGAACGACTTCTGGAAGGACTCTGATGTGAAGTAGTAGATGAAGGGGTCGAAGCAGCAGTTCAGGGTCGCGATGCACAAGGTGATGGGGTACATGGTCCGTGCAAACCTCTCCAGGGAGCAGTTGGCGATGGCCTGGGACCGGACCAGGGCGTAGAGGAACAGGATGGAGTTGTAGGGCACGAAGCACACGACAAAAATGGCCACGTGCACAACGATCATCTTCAGTACTTTCTCTTTGTTTGTCCCAATCTGGGACAAGGTGGCGGGTTTCCGCAGAGTCCGGAGAACTAACGAGGAGCACGTGAGGTTGAGGAGCAAGGGAATGATGAACCCCACCACCTCAATAAATATGGTGATCTTGGACAGGTAGGTTTTCCAGATACGTTTGGAGAAACCCTCAAAACAGGTCGTGCTGGTGTTGGAAACGTTGGTGGTGGAGAACAGCGAAGCTGAAATCCCACCGCTGAGGACCAGAATCCAGACCCCAGCACAGACTATGGCAGAGTTCCTCCTGGTCCTGATGGTGCGGGAGCGGAACGGGTACACGATGGCGAGGAACCGGTCGACGCTGATGCAGGTGAGGAACAACATGCTCCCGTAGATGTTGGTGAGAAAGGCCGTGCCAGAAATCTTGCACAGGCTGTCTCCGAAGGGCCAGTGCCTGTTGAAGTTGTAGAAGATTTTAAAGGGCAAGGTGAACACGAAGAGCAGGTCGGACACCGCCAGGTTGGTCATGAAGATGGCGGTCTCGCTCCTCATCCTCATGCGGAAGCAGAAGACGAAGAGGGAGGCACAGTTTGTGATCAGGCCAAGGATGAAAACCACGCTGTACACGGCTCCATACAGGTTGTACTTGAAGGAATCATCTGTCAGACAGGTATGATTGTTGCTGTGGTTTCCCATGCCAAGTTTGGGATGTGCTTCCAAAGGCCTTCAAAGTCTACTGCAGGGACATCCATAAAATAAGGCCGTGAGCTCGTCCCTTCCCGAAGGAACGCATTCCAGGGAGGCTGATGGACACTCTGCTACCACGGCTCCATCATGGATCCTTTCATCCTAAAGGAGAGAGAGAGTTGCCATCAGTCATCCCAGGTAGTTGTGCAGGAGAACACGTTCTCTTCCCTTCCCAAATTAATGGACGTGCAAACCAGACCAGGAATTAATTTTACGGGAGGCCTTTACAGATTCCACTGTTATTGGGATTTTTTGAAATCACTTGCTGCACTCAGCCTTTCCTTTCCTTTCATCCCTCATCCTCCTACTGGAAGGAGAGTGATCCCTAATTCCAGCTTGCTGCTTAGAAACATATTTATTTAAAATCTGGGCTGGAATTGGCCCAGTGTGTTTGGAAAAAAATTGAATTGTGGACTCACAATATTGCCCAATCAAACAGTCTGAAATATTCACCTAAACTTGCAAAAAGAGATGAAAGAAGCTGAAAATTTTAGTGTTTGCTTTAAAAACTGAGAGGAAAGTTCTGTGGATTTTCAGCATTTTCTGAAGCAAAAATATTAAAAGAAAACCCCAAACCTACGATAACCAAGAGCTGCTTTGCCTTTTTTCTACTTGAAAGTGGGAGCATCCTTACACATGTTTTTCAAAGTGAAAAATTGCCATGTTGTGCCTCAGAAATGTTTCTCAAAAACACTTCCCAAAGTCGTGTTTGCCACTTCTGGAAATTGCTGCCCTTTTTTATTTTCCTTAAAAACATCTGCAGAAATGGTATTACTTCCAAAAGGACTCTTTTTGCAAGGATAAAATGCTTCCCAAAAAGGGATTCCTTAACGTGTACTGACAGCTGCCTTTCTTTTTCACTCTTTCTCGAGGTTTGGAACCTGAAATTCGGGAAATCTCGTGTTGTAAACCTTTGTCCCAGCTCAGCAGGCTTTAGAGATACGTAGGGTTGATGTAACCACATTGTTTGTTAGAAAAAAAGTGCTCTCTGAACTGTCTTGATCTTCCCTTCTTGCTATTCTAAGTACTTTTAATGCCTGTGAGCATAAACCCTTGGAAAGTCTCCCTGGTTGGAGCAGGAAGGGTTTGTGAGCTGAGGGAGGGTCTGGGAGTTGGATCGTGGGCACGGCACATCTTGGAAACGTGGAGCAAAGCTGGGTCACTGAGGGAGAGACCTTTGCCTTGTAAACCACAGCCAACTAAATACTAAACAAAGTTTGTAATCTCCTTGTAATCTAAGAAACCTCTTAATAGCTACAACTCTGAGTGACTTAGAGCCAAAACCCTTGTGAGGAGCAGGATCCTCTCCTGACAGCGCAGTTTCGACAGCAAACGTGTCACTGAGTTGTGCTAAAGGTTGAAATGGCAACATATAAACAAATAAACTGGGGGAGAAAGCATGGATTTGGGACAATTTGGGATGCAAATGGTCAAAATCAGATGCTTTCCATGTGTGTTCCTCCCAGGAGAGCTCAGGCTGACTGTTGTTGCATTCGAGCTGGCAGTGGATCAGCTGGTGGGATGTCAAGTGCTGGGGAAGGTGGAACAGCCACAGCTTTGCCAGGTGGAAGGTGCCAGTTCTGCCCTCACCCGGGGATGCCTGGAGAACCACAGGCTTCCCAAAACCAGTGCTGTGACCCAGAGATGAGGCAGCACCTCATCTTCACACCCTGTAGGTTAGCTGGACATAAAGCCAAGCAGCAGGAAGGGAGGGTGAGCAGATCTCCCTTCCCAGCTGGCTTTCAAGTGACCTGAACCTTTGGACACCCAAAAAGATGAGTTGGAGCCCTGTGGGAGGGTTGGACTCAAAGGAGGTCTTTTCCCAGCTGAAGGATTCCCTGGCTCTCTGCAGGCTGGGGAGGGAAGGGGTGCTTTGGGTGGCTTTGCTGTGCCCTGAGCTCCAGAACAGCCCGTGGCTCTTGGAGATGTCTCTGTGCACACATTGCATCCCCCTGAGTCAATTCTTCCTTCCTTCTGATTTCATTTTGAGTTGCACACTTGTGATGATGTCCAGCACTAGCAGATGATCAGACCAAGGACAGATCTGTCTTTGGTTGATGTTGACAGTGTGGCAATGGCAGAGGAGAGCAATCCCACCCTGGGGCTTTTTCTACAGCAGGGACTTCACTGTGCAGCTTCACAAGGACAGGTAGGGAGTAAACTGTTCCTTGCACCCCTTTGGCTTGTGCTCATCTAGGAGTTTTTCCTACTAAATTCACGACCAAATGAGCTTTGTTGTGAAGCAGCCTAAAAAAAAATCAAACATTTAAATTATGGGAAGTATAGCAGTAAAATCTCAAATGTGCACTTTCTTTGGATCTGTGGCAGTCTAAATAAGGAAAGGTCTTGCCTGAAAGTTAAAATGCCTTTAAGCAAGAACTTATTGGATTGAAAAGTGCACATGAGCTCCAACAGGAATAGCTATGCTTTGGCTTAACCCTCAGCCTAAAGCATTAAATTCTTGGCTTGTACCTCCCCTTCAGTACAGAGCTGCCTGTTATCTCCATCAGGAACACTTTTTGTTTATGCTGAAATGTGACTCCTGTAAGTGTGTGAAAACCAGGTGTGCCAGACTCTCCTGGTCCAGGCTTCACATCTGGGTCCTGGCTGGGGAGGTTTGAGAGGGACTGGGTGTTCTTTGAAGCCTCACATAGATGGAAACCCCGCCTTCCAATCTGTCCAGGGCTTTGGCAGCTCCTCAAGACACAGCCTGGCACAGCAGGTTTGAAACTCTCCCCTTTCCCACTGGCAAAGTGCTCCTTGCCTGACCCAGCTGCTCCTCACACAGGAGAAAAGATGCTGCCTCACTTTAATCTTTGCTCCCTGCTCTGCACCAGACAACCTCAAGGTCTTATCCCAGTTTTTTCTAGTGGGTAATCTCTGGGAATTGCCTGCCAGCAATTGTCTAGTTAACTTATGGGCTTTAAAATACAGCCTGGCTTGTTTACCTATGGAACCCTGAGGGGTTGAAACAAGCTGACAAGTGGCTTTGAAACCCAGCCATGTGCTTTAAATTCTGTAGTATGACTCTACAGATTGAGTTTTTGGAGTGTAAAATTCACTTTCCTCCCTTTTCACCAGGGATTAAAGCAGTAGGATGCTCCTCATGGACACCACGGGCACCACTGCTATTGTCTTGCTGGGAAAGAGTAAAGCAATATATTTTAAAAAAGCTGAATTAAGTAAATATAAAGAAGACCACTTTACCACTCTGTATTTCAGGCAGGGCAAAGCTTTAAATCCTATACTTAAACTGGGAGGACAGTAAAGGAGGGGAGGGATGTGTTTAGAATAAATAGCCTTTTCATTGTGATAATATTCAGAATATTCTCTCTCATATCAGGGATAGTACAAGCAAACCTACAGCAACCATCACTTACTCATGTCACCCTGTTATTCAGAGTTATTGTTCAGCAGAGTAGCTCCAGGATTTGCTCCCACTTGCCCTTCATTGTAGAAATATCCCATCCTCCATGTACTGGAAAGAAAGGAAAACTTGTCCCTGTGACTTCCTATGGTGCCTGAGTATCCTGTTTACAATTCTTGTGTTTCCTCCTCCTGGCACCCCAAGAAACCTTCCAAACAGCCACACTGCAGCTTGACTCAGATCAACAACTATCTGTGAGAACAGAAATTACTGCAGGTAAAAATGAAACTCTGTAATTCCATTGAGCCCATTCCCACAGATCCCATTCTCCACATGTCCAGCAAACTGAGGTCAGGAAAAACAGGGTGAAGGTCAGGACTGACATTTTCTGCATCACCACATTTTCTTTTTCTCCTGTGAGATGTCAGATGAGTGGAACTTTATCAGTGTGAATCTCCAGGACATCCTGTGTGTTCATTTAAATAACTAAACACTGCAAAGCCTCTTCTTGTGAGGTTGCTACAGCCCTGATGTGAAAACCTTCCAAATCTCAGGGACCTCTGGCCAGATTATCACTGTGTGAGCTCAGGTCATCTCTTAAATCTTGAGAAACAGAGGGTTTATAGGTACAGAAGCCAAAACCTGACGGATTCCATGTGGGGATATTGGGAATTTGGGGGTTTCTCTGGGGTTGGTCCCCAAGTGTCTCAAGGTCATGGCACCACTTGTGTTGCCTCAGCCCCTGACCTTGGCAATAAACAGGTATTTTCCTGGGGCACAGCATGTGCTTTGTGCCTTCTCTTGACAAGAACTACATTCACTGGAGAGTTTGCCCTTCCCTGGTACTGACCCCGTTGCTACAATCAGTGTGGGATGTGTAACTCACTCCCACCACCGAGCCCAGGTTACGGCTTTGCAACCACAAACTCACTCCTGCAACTTCTTGGGGCTTATTTCCCTCCTTCAGTCCACTTCAGTTAAGTAGAAGGCTCAAAAAAAAGGGTTTTGTTGGGGGGGATGTTTGATTTTTTGGAAGATTTTTGCAGAGATGATAATTTTGTATAAGGCTGTAGGACTCGAGTTCTTCCAGGCAGGAGAACCATAAGAAAGCGAGATAAACTGCAACTGTTTGAGTAGGTAAAATGGAAGCTGTGTGATGAAAAAGAAACTTTTTCTACCTGAAAAATTATTTGTAACTCAGTTCCTGCAGTGGGATCTCCACTGACTCGTACTTTTGCTTTTTGATAAAAGTTTCATTTGACGTTTTTGGTTGTAGAGAACTCCAAGAGAATCAACTGAAAATGGTTATAAGGACAAACCTCTAGTTTGGGGCAATTTGGTGTCTGATCTTCCCCTGTTTGAGGCTGTCAGGGTAGTAACTGGTTCTGTGCAGCTCTGTTGTCCCAGTGTGGGCTTATGGAAAACTGGACCAGCCCGAGCAAGTGATGCTGGATCCGGACAAATGTCTGGGGATGGGAAATAGTTTGGGACACCAGTTTTTGGGCTTGGCTCTTAAACCGACCAGTCTGTGAGCTCTCCATCCTCCCCAGAGCCTCCCGTAGTTTCCCAGTCACCTCCCCTGGTGTGGTGGGAGCAGGGAAAGGGTGGGATTGCAGGGTGGGAAGCAGAGCAGCTGCCTGTAAACAAAGCTCTATTGACCATCCGAAGCGATGGGAAGGAGAGAAACGCTTTAATCTCTTTCATTTCCTAATCCCAAGTGAAGTATTCGAGAACA